AACCGTACCAAGATCGGCAAGCCGAGATGGTCAATCGACATGCACGCCGGCGCAGGCCGCCAAAAAGGAAGCTGGAGGACGACGTGGCTGACGGCTCAGATGGCGATGATGCAGCAGCCATGGCAGCCTCGGCACACCAGCCAGCGCAGCAGCCCAAGGGCAGACCCAAGAACAGACCGAAGAGCAAAGCGAAGGGCAGAGCGAAGGGAAAGGCGAAAACCAAGGCCGCCAACAGCAAAGCCAAGACCAAGGGCGGCGGCGGGCGGGCAGCAGCGGCGCAAGAAGCGTGATGATGATGAGGGTGAGGGAGAGGCCAAGGGCGAGGAGCAGCACGGTGACGCCAATGGGCTCCAGCAATACGCCGACCAGGCCAAGGAGGCCGAGGTGTCCGCGATCGCAGACGAGGCCGAGCAGGCAGCAGCAAAGCAGAAGGCGCGTGCCGATGCAGTCGAGAAGAAGGAAGCAAAGAAGAAGCTGCGGGCCGAACACAAGCAAAAGGTACCTACAGGCAGGCAGAAATGGGATAGAACATGCATCTCTCACTGCCGCTTTCTCTCTGTGAGTGGTGTGTGTGTGTGTGTGTGTGGTGTGTGTGAAGATGAGGAGGCCGACACCAATGCCGCTGTTGATAAAGGTAGGTGAGCAGCACGAGCAGCAGATACCACCACACGCCACGTTGCTCGTGCTGCTCCTTCCACTTGTTGTTGGTGATGCGCAGGCCGCCATGAGGGCAATGGCGGCCGTCGAGCGCTACGTGAGTGCCCACTGCTCGTTACGGCTTCAGAAAGCACTCGCACGACTGAAGAAAGGCGTCAGAACGGGGGCACAACAAAAGGGACACCTCAAGCGTGCTCCGTGACTGAGTTTGAGTGAGTGAGTCAGTCGTGCTGCCATACCTCATCTAGGCAGATCTGTCGTTCATGGCTCTGCACCGTTGGTGCGTGACTGTCCATCCATACATCTACTTTTTTGGTGAGTTCGGCGCTAGTTTGCCTCACAGGAAGGCCACCATCTGCCGCTGGCATCCTCAAAAGTGACTGAAAGGCTCCAGAAATCACCCTCACGAAGGATGGCAACCTTTTCCGTAAATCCATATCATCCATCGTTTTTCGTCGTTTTAGAGTCGCTCGAGCGGGGAAAAAAGAGTCAATGTGATGGAGGGTGGCTCTGGTGAGTCATTCACGGCGAGAAACCCCGCAGAAAACAAGCAGCAGATAAAGCAATCATTGCCTTGTTCGCATAAACCCATCAAATCCATAAAGCAATCACCCCAGTACTGATTGCCTTATGCGATACTTACTGTATCACACTGAGGTCAGCACCCGTATCAACAAGCACCTCAGATAATACCCCATTCACCCTCATCAGCACATATGTCTGCCAGCGTACAGTTCGCAAAAGCTCACTGTGGTTCTCCTCCTGCTTCTGTGCATCTGTAGGAGCCCTATTGCTTCCACCACAGACTGCATTGACATACGCAGAGACTCCCTGACCATCCTCTCTCTTATCAGCCACTGGTGGGCCCAGTGCTGCTACACCGACGGCATGCGAAGAAGAAGGCGTCCCCTCTCTTCGCCCACCGTAATCGATGACATCCGAGGAAGAAGGCGTCCCCTCTTCTCGTCTGCCGCCATCGGGGTTTTTGGCGGAGCTAGCCCCGACCAGCTCCAGCCCTTCGTCAGTTGTCTCGGTGGATGCCCACTCACCACCGGCAGTATCCGAGTCGTAGCCCTTATGTGAGACTCGCGCCAACCGACTGTCATTACCAGTGTCCGCTGATGCACCAGGGCGTGCCGTCATGCACTGTCGCTTCGCCGATGCACCCCAAGGACCTACCGACCTGGACTGCAAGTTCTCGCCCAGTCCGCATCTGTCTGCGTCCCCCAGGCAATCCCTTGGCCCAGCCGCCGGGACAAAATTGTGGTCAGTATCTCTCGTATCGACAGCTATATTGGAATGGGGTTCCCTCTGTGCCTGCACACTCAGAGCGTCAGCCGAGCCTGTCTCCTTCAAAAATGATCTCTTCATCAAAGAATGCGCATGTAGGGCGTCGTGTGCCGATGCTGTGTCCTCTCGCCCGCCCTGAAGCGGAGGACTCATCCGTTTCCCAGCTGCGGGAGGTCAGGAGCAGGGAGCGCTTTAGCTTGAACAGTGTTTGCCCCTGTTAGTGTCGCTCCTCGCATTTGCTCAGGGGAAGGTGTCCATCCCTTCGGTCGCTTTCTACATCGGGCCCACTTGTGTCCATAGATGCCGCAGTAGAGACATCTGCCTGGGAACTTTCCTGCCCACCTATTAGTCCTCTTGTCTGGGTCTTGTGTCTCTGCTCTCTCTTGTCTTCTGTGTCTGCCCGACGCATCGCGTTGCCCCTTCAGGTCGGCCACTTCCGCCTTGAGCTCATTAATGGATGCAGTGAGAGAGTCCCGGCTCTCTGTCTCTTTCTGCTTGTCAATGCCATCTGCAGGTCTCCCACCGACCGCACCGATCTCAAATCGTGCACGTTTCGACGGTCTTGTCCTCTCGGCATCGCTCTCGCCATCGTCGTCACCGTGGCCATTGCCGCGCTTGCGTGTCCGCAACAGCCATACCTCGGCACTCAGCCCGAGCTCCTTCACGGCGCTGAATGTGTGGGGGTCGTCGTCTTTGCGGTATATTTCGTCTTTCAGTCTAGGTAGCAGGCCATCGATGAATAACTCGACTGCCTCTCTTTCCGATTTCTGCGTCCGTGCCTTCTGGTAGATGTCGTTGAACTCATTGAACGCATCTTGGAACGATTGATCGGGCTTCTGTTGCCATGTCTTCATTTGCTCAGCTACGGCGATTGTCTGCGCCTGTTTCTGGCCAAACTCTTGAGCCAAGAAGTCCAAGAGCGTCTCCAGCTGTACGGCTTGGCTGTTGTCTCCCCATCCTGCCTGTGTGCTCATCCATCGAGTGACGCGAGTGCGTGCAGTGCCCCGTAAGGCGCTCATGATGTATGGAAGTATCTGGCCTCCTTTCAGATGGTACATGTTCTCAGCCGCCCTGACTTCAGCAATGAATGCCTCCACAGTATGCTCTGCGCCTCCATCGAACGACTGGATGGACACCGATGGTTTCTGTAGGCCGTTTGGTATATTCCAGGCATCTGGCTTCGACGGCAGCTCACTCAACTCTGCCTGCGACTGCGTCTGGCTTGAATGTGAGCTGCTTGCTTCGTGTGTCAGTGCAGGTCCTTCATCTGGCAGCACCACGATGTCGGTGGTGTCGCCACTGCGATTGTATGTTGGTGAGACATCAGCGTCTCTTTCACGCCTTGCATTCGCCACACGCCGTGGCTGTCTCTTCATGGCTTTCTTGCCACGCTTCAGCACCTGCAGCGCACGCTTTCGTGTCAATCCGCTCTCCGCCCGTGCGGGAGGTGCTGATTCCGTGCTCAGACCGCTTCGTGTCCTCGCCATGATAGTGTCTCAAGTGTCACTTCACGGACTTCTCCGAGTTGCTTCACGGCAGATGCACCAGAGAATGCTCGCCGCCTGTGTATGAGCTGTCTTTGAGACGAGCTGTGCCTAGTGGAGAACGATATGTGAAGTGATTGTCCGTTGGTTGACGATTTGGAGACACGAAGAAGAGGCTTTCACTTGTAACACACGGAGGTCTGTCCACACGCTACGCACACAGTGTCACGCACAAGAACACGCACGCTATGTCAATCACAGTATCAGTGAGGCGCGTCGGCAGCCACGCAGAATTCGAATCGACTCTCTCTCTCGTCTTGAGAGTCGCCAGGGAAGGTCGTTTGGAACGACGGGAGAGAGAGGTGAGAGGCAAGATCACTATCAGATATCGCCCGGGATTACTGGGATGGCCACCAATCGTGGTGGGAACAACAAAGAAAGGCTAGAATGATCACCGGAAGGGAAAACAAACGAAAGAACGCTCGTTTGTTGTAGATTGGTTAGTTCGTAGCCGAAAATCTGCTGAGCTCGCTCGATCTCCCTAGCAGCTCGCAAATGAGCGATGTGGAAATTCACATCGCCTTTTTGGCGAGCTTTTCCTTCCGTTTCTCCCCGCCCTAAGCACTGTGCGTACATGTGGGAGGATGGCTCGGGAGAGCCGTGTCCTTCCACTTTTATGCCAAACGCACCAACGAGGAAGCAACAGTGGCAGGAAGGCCGCGCACTGATGGATGGAACGACAATGGCGGCCCAGAGTCTTCCCTCCCTTCATCAGCGCAGCGGTATACATCTCGACATGCGCTCGGAAACCCCTTGATTCACTCCCATACTATTGATTGATACCAACTCATGCACCCTGCAACACGGCACAACTGATGCACGTAGAGATCTCATGCAAGCGACATCAGCGACGCACACAGCCAGATGGTCGTCATGTGGAAGGCACGATGCCTCCTTGTTTGCCCTTGTTTACCTGGCTTTGCCATTCTTTGCCATCGGGCAAGCGAGTGGGCCGTTTACCAAAAGCCTTCTTAACTTCGAGTGCGCAGCCACTTGAGGGTGTTCTTACATCTAGAGTGCGCAGCCACTTGACCGTGTTCGTATCCCCAGGAAGTTACGACCGAAGTCGCCTGATTCTTATGTAATGGATGTAATGGTAGGAGAGGAGGGGTAAGGGTGGATTTATTGCCTGCAGCAGACAGGCACGCACAAAGCACCACAGGCACGGGATGGATGAAAGCCTTCTTAAGGCCTGCCAACCATTGTCTTTTGCTTAGTCGTATTCTGGTCGACACCGACCAATGCGAAGGCGAGGCGCGAAGCGCCGAGCCGAGCATCGACTAGCCACCCTTGACTGTCAATTGCCAATGTGGAGGGCACCGTTGACTGTTCTGCGACGGTTCCATCACTCACAGTCACCCCACTCCTCCGTGCATGCAGGGCCTCAACTAGTCTTTGATATACATGATCCATCAGTTGGTCATGGGTGTCGTAGCTTGGCAGTCTGACAAAGGGTGGCTGTATCGCAGCTGCTGCGCCATCTTCAGTATCGTCCGAATCTCTCAAGTCGAGCGACTGTGGGGTTGGCGGGCGTCTCTTCCCACAAAGGTTCACAGTGGTTCGCAGCCAGCCAAAACGAGGGGGCATCAAAACCTCGGCTAGTGCAGCCGGATTCAGGTTTTGACGTTCACAGGGTCAAGTACAGGGTTCCCGGTCGGTGGTGAAACTGAGGAACAACGGATGATGTAGCCCTCAACGGAATCATTCTATTCAATTCCTGGGTGGAAACTCGCTAACGGTATTTGTATTATTATTTGGGAGGAGGGCACGTCTCATATGTCCGTTTTTTCTGTATGTATATTGTATGTATATGCGGGTCGGCTTTTCATCACTGACCTGGTTCTCCGTCTTCCTGGTGTCCCTCAGCTTATGGTTCAATTTGTGGGGCGGACCTTCCACCAGCAACAACAGAAAGTTCATCACGGATGCCCTGATGCACCTTCGGATGAGAGCACAAGAGAAGGCGAGCATCACCAGGTTTCTTTCAAGTGGACAAGACGATAGCGCCTTCGCTGATCTGAGGGCGTTCGAGGCCGATCTCGAGGTGCCCTTCTTTATATTGGACACACCTGCGCTGGTGGAGCTTCATCGTATGTGCCAGGAGACTGCACAGAGCATTCTCAACGGCGACTGGCCTTCTGAGCTTGTTCTGGATGACAAGAAGAACATCAACGAGGTGTACTGGCTCCATCAATTGTGGACCGACCCCTGGCGGACACGCGACCCAGACAAAGCTCTCATCTTCGTCTTGCCTGTGTATCCAGGTGGGCACTGCATCGCAGATGGATCGCTGATAACACACGTAGGTGTGTATGGAGTGTGGGCAGTGCTGTTGCTGGGGAGGGCGTGTGGGGAGAAGGATCGGAAGAAGGTCCACAAGCTGGGTGCACAGGCAGTTAAGGAGGTGAGAGAAAGCGTTCTTGTTAGAGGTGTCTTATTCGATGTCGGCCTTCGATTCAGGTGACCCAGCTGCCTGCCTGGCACAGGAATGGCGGCGTTGATCACGTGATGGTGGTGAGTATGCCGATGCATCAACCGCTGTATTCGTGTGATCATTTAATCAGGCGACTGACTGGCAGTTCAAGGTGCCTGGCGGCTTCCAGAGGGCGCTGGGCAAGACCTTCGCTAACTTTGCCAGGAACGTCACATGGGGGCGACACGTCACCGACAACCGTTCGTGCGGATAAAGAGAGGATCAGACTCTAGTGATGCAATGCTCGAGTGTCCGCTGCTTCTCAGATAGAGGCCTCTTCGGCTGCGCCGTCACCATTCCCCATACGTACACATCCGTACATACCAGTCTGCGAGCACCATGTGTGTATCTGCCTGTCCGTGTGGCTGTGTGGGTCTGCAGGTCGTCGATGACGGCGCTACAGCCTGCCTACCAGCCCTTTGAAAAGGAGAGTCTGCTGGAGAGGGGTCTGATCGACGCCGCGGATGTGTTCGAGGATGACAGGCTTGATGTTGCATTCGACCCGCCCTCGCGGCTCGACTGGTTTGCCAGAGACTACACCATGTTCTTCCAAGGTAGCTCCCCTCACGTATTTGCAAACGTGCTTTTCTGATCAAGGCAGTTTGCATACAAATATGCTCAACATACGCCACACACACATGATGTCTGCATGTGTGAGTGTGTCCAGGTACAGTTGATGGCATGCGGCCGTTCAGAATACTGGCACTGAAGCAGTTGGCGGGCTGGCACCACCGTCCAGCCTCATGTCACGACTGCACACCCGCCAACAATGTTTTCGTCTCCACCACCAACGTGGCTGGTGTCGAGCGGAAAGGGAAAATGCCAGATTGCCCGCGCGAACAGAAGAAGCTGCGCGTTCAGAGGGTCGTTCAGAGGGTCGAAATGGGCAAGTTCGAGGGGTGTCGCGCCCCTTCCGACCAGAAGAAGCGACATCCGCTCTACGCGGAGGCATCATTCATGCATCGGCTTGCAAATTCCAAAGTAAACCTCTGCTTCCGCGGGACAGATGTGACGAGTTCGAGGAATGTGGACGGCTTCTGGACGGGGACGCTCAACGTGCTGATTACCGAAGTGGAAGACATGTATAAGTACGCCATAGCGTTTCAATGCGAGATACCGTGGAGGTGACCACTTTAGCATCAAACCAAAGACACGCACTCGCACACGTCATGCAGCAGCTGCATGATTATTCTGCATGGGAGGAGAATGAGGCAGAGACATGTCTGTCGCGTGTGTGTACGTGTGCAGGAACTTCACATATGCCATCGAGGGCTCTGCGTTCAAGGAGGATCCGCGAAGAGCACTTAGGCCTGTCTTAGACGAGCTGTTTCTGCACCCTGCGTCCATCCGTGAGAAGCTTCGACTGATGGAGTACTACAGTAGGAAAGTGCTGTGGAACGCACCCAACAGCACAGCGGCCAGGAGCACGCTGCGCGCCATGACGCGACAGTGCCTCACTGACGAGATGAAAATGGAATGGCTGCAGCGAACACACATAGAAGATGGTGAGTGGTCTGACCTGATTCACGGTATGAGGTGTGTGTGCGTGGGTTGGATGGATGCAGGTGGTGATCGATATGGCGATCATCCACTCTTCTCTCGCTGCGCCTTCCCGGACACCTCAGCGACGCGCGAGGAGCAGAGAGAGCCGTGCGTCAGCTGCTGGGTTGGCTACAAGACACCCACCAAGAAGCCGCCCTCCACAGCCGACGAACACCACACCACCAGTGCACAACTGGAGGTGCAGATGTGACTCGCTTGTGGATGGGGCTGCTTGGCCGTCATCAGTTTTGGCATGGAAATACTAATCAATGCCACACACGGCTCAAGGGCCGAGTGACCGGGCCTCTCTGGGCCAAAACACAATCCATAGATGCAAGCGGCGCCCCCAAGTAAAGGAAATACCAGGGCAAATGCGAAAGGGAGAGGAGGTAGGATGAGCCCGCTGCTGTCGAGGCCGGTGAAGCCAGACAACATAAGTTACAATGAATGACCCAGCAACCAGTCAACATATCAACAGCTCCCGTCATAACACAGTAAGACGCATGATATTTGACCTGTTTTTACGCGTACAAGCTGTGAGAAAAATGAGATCGCTTGCTCACGTTTTGCAGATGGACTAGGTGCTTCCTTTCCGTTTCCTTTTCTCAAATTCTGCAAAAAATTTATATGGGAATTGCCTCCCCCTAAATTCCCTCCCCCTTTGTATGTTCTTAATTGTTAGAAACGACTGTAGTTCTTAATAAGGGGTACCAAGAGCTCATCAACCCTGCCGACATTGTTCCCGTCCTCGTCAACTACAATGGCATTCGACTTGACCTTTCTAAAGAACAGGGGGTGTCTGCTGCTAATCAATTCCGCCAACTTGGTGAGTTTTAGCTTATGGAAACACAGTGGCCCCAGTGGTGAGCAACGCCGAGCGCTCCCGTAGCCGCAGGCATCTCTTGAGCCTTTCCAGCAGAGGCGGGTATCGCAGAATTCTTCTTGGATGTCTGGATCAAGCTGTCCAACGTGGTCAGTGCGGAGGCCGCCGTTTACCTGTAATGCATGAACATGTGAGGACGCCTCTGACCGTGAAACATAGCTGCCTACTTGTCTCCATATCTCTCGGTTGCCAAGTGTACGGCGAAGAACATGGTGTGGAAACCATTCATCGGACATTCCTGTCATCTTGCCGGATCGGCGTCGTGGCGCACGGTGAGAACGTGTACGATCAAGGCCCTGTGCGGCCACAATTGTCGCATGATATCGATTGTAGATTCGCCACTGCATGTGCTTGACATCTACACACAAAAATGACGGGAGATATTGCTGCACTTCCTTTCCGCCTGTAAGATACCATATCCATCCCTTTCCGCATCTTGACACGTCAGGTTCTGGCTCCCTGCTTCGTCTGCCACTTCTCGGTCGGGTTCCATCTCCCACAGTCGACGTGGATTGTAGCTGAGTACAGCATAAAACGTAAACCCGACTGGCTACACGTCTATCCTTCATACCAGAATCTGGATGTCGGCAGACCACTTTCGCTCACTCGATGCTCAAACAAAACGTCATACAACACGTCAGGATGAGCCAGCGGGATGTGCGAAACACTCAACAGTGCCATCATTTGGTTGCACGGGTCATTCAGAGAGGCTTCCCACAACGAATTCTCGGCCGCAATGAATTCGCCATATTTCATCCGAGCCGGTTTGGCGTGTTTGGTTCGCTTTGACGCAGTCACTCCACTCACATTGTGATGCAAATGGACGTATACAGCGAACCGTTGCCTGTCGCTGGCCAGGGCGAGCCACTCCTCCCACAAAGGAGCGAAAGGCTCCTTGTCCTTTACAAGAAATAGTAGAGCAACTTTTGGTGGCCCATTACAATCGCTGCAGCCTCCGATAGCAGCTGGCTTGCTTGATTTCCTCACACAATAAAATTGCAAAGGCGAATCTGTTGTCTTGAGGGGCACAAAATGCCTTTCTCTAAACTCCTCCAGCTGAGATTGTAGCTGACAGTCCCGATCCCTCTTCGACAACAGGAATCGGTGGTCGAAGTCGGAGTCGAGGAAGACCAGACACCCTGGCAACGCCAGGACCAGCGCTGAAGCCGTCAGCGCGAGAAGGGATAACCTCATGACAGCTATACACACGTAAGCTACACACAATTTGCGTTCACACAATATGCGTTACACACAAGATACAAGTAACAACTTACAATTTGCGTTCACCCCTTGCTTGCGTACTAATCGGAACCGGGCACTGCCCCCAATGGGTTATGTCATTCCTGCAATTCTGCTGGTGGTTTTTATCTTGTGGCATAAACTGGACAGCGTCAGCCTTCTCCTGAACGGCACCAAGCACCCCAGCTTACGGCGGAGTCAGCGTGGGGCTGAAGTGCTATGCAGCCCGACAAATTCATTGACGGGCCACACCTTTCGTGAGTCAGCGTCACCCTCCCTCTTCCCAAGCAGCCGATGGGTACCTGGGCTGCGGTGGGTGTTTGTCGTGACGCCGACGTACAGACGTGTGACGCAGCGTCTTGACCTTACGCGGCTTTTCAATACATTCGCTCTGTTCGCTAACGTGCACGTGATAGTTGTGGAAGACAGCCTCAACAGAACGGCCAAGGTTGACAACATATTGGGGAGCAGCCTCCTACTGCATTGGTCACACAGGTGAGTGCCACGTGGCATGACCTCCCATGGTGGAATACGTTTGGGAGGCTTCGCTGGGTCCCTCGCTGTCCAGGTATATCAAAAGTTCTCGTAGATTGAAAGTCAGGGGGAGCGAGCAGAGGAATGAGGGCATTCGCGCGATACGAGAAATCGTGTTCGGTGAGGCGGACGCAGAGCTCAGGAACGCATATGAGGTAAACTGAAGTTAAGACTTCAACAGCCGTCGTGTCTCTTCCTAACTTTCAGGATGCCGTCGTGTATTTTGCTGATGACGACAACGCATATGACGTTCGGATCCTGGACGAACTGCGGAAGGTCCGTAATGTTGGCACCTGGCCGGTTGCGCTCTCGGGGCGTAAGATCGCCGAGAGATGCGAAGTCGACACGTCAACGGGAAGGATCAAAGGCTATAACTCTGCCCTGGTGGGTGTCAACTCGAGAGCCAGAAAGAGGAGGTGCTGGAGCGATAATGCTCATCTCTCTTCGATGTATGTGCGGTGTGTGCGTGTGTGAGTGGGTAAAGAAATGGCGTCCGTATCCGATTGACACTGCAGGGTATGGCCTGCACGTGAGGTACTTCCTCAAACACGAGCCGCCATTGATGTTCAACCCCCTTAGCAAGATCTACCACCTCGAAAGCGACTTCCTGAAGATGACGAATATCAGCAAATACGATTTTGAGCCACTCGCGGACAATTGCACAAAGGTACTTGGACAGCTTATGCAGAGGCTACACACTCAAGTGCATGTCAACTTGCTACGCCGCCAGGTGTACACCTGGCACGTGTCTTCGGACATAAAGTGGGGTAGGAAGAAGCCGCCGCTAGACTTCGACGTGGAGCTTGACATCTAGAAAGCCGGGCATGTATTCACGACACACAGACTTTCTGGCATTCTGCACGTGTCTGGACACTTCTGTGGCTGTGGGAGGCTGCCGGACATGTCAGCATGCTCCCAAAAGCACTACATCTGTCAGAAAGAAGGGACACAGCGCACTTTCCCTCCTGTGGGAGTGGATGACGATCAACAGTACGCAACGTTGAACCAGTGTTCTCTTATGCCAATCTCCCCTGGGTTCATGATCAGTGATGGTGCCTTTTTGTATAACTACTCCCCCCCTTATCACCCCTGTCCAGCTGGCAAAGTACTATGGGCAAACCCCCCACCCCTGCTTCCTCCCACCGAATACTGCTCGTCCGCCCACAAATACGTGTTGGATATGCAGGTAAGACTTAGAACACGCACCATTTTGAGCATGTCTCCAGCTCATTCTCAGTGAAGTTCTCAGTGGAATGACGCTTCGCTGATAAAGGGAGGGAGGTGTTTTCGCAGCGCCTGACCTCACTCCGGTAGCTAGACGGGCATCCTATTGCATTGCATTGCATTGGATGGTACTCATTCTGAGGACTCGACGTTGGGAACTGTGTGCGGGTCGCTTTCACCCACTGCATGACGGAGCCATCTGTATCTGTCTGTGTAGCTAGAGGTGCGTGCGAGTGTATGAGACCCATATCTATTCAGGCAGCGCACACATCGAAGACGGAGGGAGGGAGGGAGGGAGGGAGAGAGGGTTGGTGGATTGCTCTCTCTTTCCGCTCTCCCTCTCTGTGTATTAGGTAGTGCATCGTACATGTTGGTAGGGGTGCGCAGTCGTCGACCAGTGATGAAACCGATTCTTTTATGTAAACCATCTGTTCGTCTGTGTGTGCCTGTGAGTGTACGTGACCCCACAGCGAATCAGATCAATCGACACACATCCATCAGTCTGACGACCGTCACTTCATCGACTGAGTCCATTAGACATACACACACACACACACACACAGAGAGAGAGAGAGAGATATGTCCGTCCTTGACAGAATGAATTAGTGCATGTGATGTCGGGCATTAACACACCCAGCATCGATCAGTCGAGGCACTTCACCCACCTCACCCCGCTCGCATGTCACCCACATCTGTGTTGAGAAAGACGACATGCAGCCCTCATTTGATAGCCTCTCTGGACCGCACACACGCCAGGCCTATACCGTTGTGTGGCTGATGAATAGATTAATGTTCCCCCCCAATGTGTGCTGTGGGTACATTTGGCGGCTCTCACGTACAGTACATCAATCTGTCAGATCATGACATCGTACCAGGGGCCTGCATACACACATATGCGACTCATATGCCACTCATATGCAGCACAGAGGAAAAGGGAGAGAGAGCAAGACGAAGAAAGAAAGAAAAACACACACGACACGCACGCAGCCGTCAGTCCGCCCAAAGACACCCATGGATGCATGCATCAAACGATAGATTTAGAGGCTGACGTGTTGTGTCTGGAAAAAAAAGAAAAACGACACACACACACACACACCGCAACCCATCCAACAGACGCAACTGATTGTGCCCTCTACCTGTCTGTCTGCGTGTCGCTGATCAATTGCCCCCCTCCCTCCCTCCCTCCCTCCCTAGATGGACTGTGCACAAGAGTGTTGGTGCATTGCACGGGTCGTTGGTGTATGCAAAGGAGCGCAGCGGCCAAGGAGACCCCAAACACACAACGCATCAGACCACTGCAGACGGACATAACTGCATATTCCCCTCCCCTGCAGTTATGTCCCTCACACACAGGGACAGTGAGACAGACGCGTCGTCTCACTGACCATCGCCTAACCATTGACACGAGTGGTTCTTCCCTTGCTCTCTCTGTGTATCTGTGGCCGGCTGATGAACGAATCAATCGCCTCCCCCTCCCCCCTGTACGGGCTGTAGATATGTGCATTCTCCGTTTCCCGCACATATCAATCGCTGCATACACACGTATGAAAAAAAGAGGAACAAAGAAAACTAGACATACCGACTTGGCTGCTCGCACATATACGAGACAGACAGACAGACAGGCAGAAAAACACGCAAAGACGACGGGGCTGTGTGTTTGGGGGTGAGTGCACATCATGTCACATGTGTCTTCGTCCATACATCGAACATCAATCGCCACATCTGTCCCACACGACAAAGATATCTTGCCTTCCTGGATACGGTCTCTCATCCATACAGAGAGAGTGCTGCGACACCCTTATGCAGTAACAACAAGAAGACTGGACTGTTTCTTTTTACTTCCACCACTGTCTCTTCCCCATCCAAGCATCACTCCGATTCCTCCCCCAAGTCACCGAGAAGCCAGGATGACGGTCGACGAGCAGTGGGGCTGCCACATACCCCGGCGTCTCAGTCTTAAATAGTCCCTTCCACCAAACGGCGTCGTGGCCATAAGCTCTGCTATCCTGAGCAATCAGATCCCTGAGGTACTTCGAAAGGCAACGAAGATGTGATTTTCGCACCACATAAGCATACGCGCCCCATGCATCGTCCGCGCGTATGATACCGGGCTCAAGGAGTTCCGGAGAACGACTCAGCTTCTTTGGATCCACTCTATGAGGCCTGATATTGTGTGCGCCCAAGAAGAGAGCCATGGAGTTATTGGGCCACCGCAAAAGAAGCTTGTCGAATTGTGCCTTCCATGTCTCTGCATCGACAGGCTCGAAGGGTGGTTTCGCATCATCTTCGAGAAAGATTGCCGTGTCAACGTTGTCTTCGATAGCACGATCGACCGCGTGGATGTTGCCGGCAAGGATTCCCAGCCCTCGTCTGGGCGCCCGGAACGTCTTGATTTGCTGCATATCGAGTGCGGGATATGCGGCTGTCCACTCCCTCAAAAAGCGAGAGTAACGTCCGGGTTCGCCATCAGCCTCAGGCAGCGTCATCACGTACCCACGACGTATCGCATCCGGCATGGATTCAGACTCGTGGCTGAATCCGCAGCTGTTCGTGAAGTTGCCCGATGGTGGGAGCCTAAATAGCCTAGAGAGATGGACCGAGACTTCCAAAAAGGAGTTGTCCCAAAACGTCCACAGAACAAGAGATAAAGAAAGCAGCAAAGCAAGACAATAGATTTTGAACCTATGGGAACCGTCTTCGCCTTTGAGAAGGGCTTGCAACGCACCTTTATCGCCCACCATACGTATTCGTACCAATATTTATGATTGTATATTATTTCACCAATTCGATATCTGAGAGGGATTGGAGCGCGAAGGCCGATTGACCATCCAATTGGCTCTCGGGCTGGCCGACCGGAGGCCGCACAGGGTGCATAGATGGTCGGAGCGAGGGAAGCGCAGACCTTCCTTCTTCTGCTCTGCTCACGCTCAGCCCGATATAGAAGAGCCTTTCCAGGACAGCCACGTCCCTGCAGAAGAACACAAGAGTTGCACATCTCGATATCCGTAAGCCACGAACACGCTTGCATGCATACGGGGCAACCCGGGATTCTCACATAGCGCGTGGCAACCCGGTACCCTCACACATCACGCGGGGCAGCCCGGCAATTAGACTGAGAAACGAGGCGACGGAGGGTGTGCATGCAGCTCATTTCTTATTGCGGGAGGGGGAGGGGGAAGGGGGGAGGGAGACAGGAAGGAGGGAGGGGAAGAGAGACAGACCACCTGACACGACAAGAGAGACGGGGGCCACACACATCACCACACACACACACACAGGGCAGAGGGGGGGAGGAAGGAGGGGAGGTAGACAGATGGACACATCATGAGTTTGGTGCTTTCTTTGCTCTGCCGTTCGTACGTCAAAAACCTCTGGGTCAGCTTTTAACCCTGTGAACGTCAAAACCTGAACCCGGCTGCACTGGCCGAGGTTTTGATGCCCCCTCGTTTTGGCTGGCTGCGAACGTTAACCACTGTGAGCCTTTGTGGAAAGAGACGCTCGCCAACCCCACTCCATTTGAGAGATTCGGACGATACTGAAGATGGCGCAGCAGCTGCGATACAGCTACCTTTTGTCAGATTGCCAAGCCATGACACCCATGGGTGTCATGGCCTCTTGCTAGCCATGCCATGCCATGACACCCATCAGAGGGCCAACATGCATGTATATCAAAGACTAGTTGAGGCCCTGCATGCACGGAGGAGTGGGGTGACTGTGAGTGATGCGACCGTCGCAGAACAGTCAGCGGTGCCCTCCACATTGGCAATTGACAGTCAACGGTACCCCCGCTCGGCGCTTCGCGCCTCGACTGCATTGGTCGGTGAGTCGACATGCATCAGCGACCCTCGTGGCATGAGCTGGCAAGAGGTGCATCATGCACGAGGGTCGCTGAGGAACACTGGTGACCGCCACTGCGTGTACCATTGCCTGCCTGTGGTCAGGGGCGCTGTCCCCCCCAAGGAGACGTCCAGGCCTCTTGGACGCTGTCTCACCAAAGACAGAACAGTCGGTTTTGGAGGATTGTTTTTTGAGACGGCAACAGTTCACCCATGGGAATACAGCCGACAGTGCTGAATGCTGCCGCTATCAAGACGCGATTAGAATGATTCCCAAACAATGGCAGCATTCTTTTAGAGGTCTTCGAGATGCTCATATCACTACTCCCCGCTCGACAAGATACAAAATACCGTAGCACACGTCATCCATCCATTGACACTGCCCAGGGTTTGCATGCATGAATCCCGTGGAGCATGCATCCACGTACGTACACGGACAGATACCCGCAAAGCAAACCACGCATGGGACCGCAGCAAAACACGCGGACAGACAGAGACAAGGGATGGATCCCATTAATTGCCCCACCCAACCACCCCCACCACGCCTCCGCTCGTTTGTCTAGCTGGTCAGCAGGTATGTGTCACGCATCCACAATCGGACAGGAAAGGGAAAGAGATCGGCGATGGTAAGACAGAAGGACCTGGTGTCCACTTGATGCCCACATTCACCTCTTTGGAAACAAGGGCCACGGAAAGGCTGCAAACAGTGCACGGTAATCAAAGTCGACAACTGGAGGCATCGGTCCCATGTCCAATGCTTCTTGGTACGAGGTCGCTAGCTGAAAACTCCGATTCGTTGCATAATAGTAATCCTTGTACTTGTGAAGCCGTCCATTCGAGTTTGTCTCCAACATCAGCCGCGAAGGAATCCCAAATGATTCAGCAATGATCAACCCATGCAGTGACGAGCTCACGACAAACGCGCACTTGACCAGCTCGCCCAGCACTACCTTCCAGTCCTGCATCGGTGTGATCACGTGACCGGGATACTCGGATTCATTGAGGCCCCGGCGAATCTCCTTAATTTGAGGGACATAACAAACATCGTATTTGGGTGGCCAGTGAAGTTTGAATTCGGGGAAAAGACATGGTACGAGCATGCCCGCATCGCCATACACCACAGGCAGAGCCTCCACATCACCATGTTTATTCTGCAGCAAAAAGCTTCGTGTCTCGGGACCTCGAATGGCAAACAGAGTCACATTGCTTGGGAGCGGTCGCCTGAGCGTCTGTTCGCCCAGCATTCCAATCGACCAGCCGTAATCGCCAGAGCGGACAAAATGCAGTACAGAGCCAATGGGAAGTAAACACTTTCCTCCTCGACGGCTTCGCAGGTTTCGCCACGGAAGTTGGAAGCGGCGACCGAGCATTCTCTCAACCAGAGCCAGCCCAATGTCATCGCCGAAATTCTTTTCGTTGGAGTATGTGCAGACGGCAAATCCCAAATCAAGTGGGAGGGATATGCATGAGGCATTTGCCAGTGACTCTTCGAGGCCTGGCACCTGGACACTCTGGCGCACACACCCTGGAATCGGTGCCGAGGATGCTCCTGGGACGCCTGTGTCTGGCGTAGCTTTGGAACCCTCACTGAACCTGTTCGTAAAATTGCCGAGTACTGACGATCTGAATAAAAGAGGGAGAGGGACCGGCGATATGAGATACCGCAGCTCCTCCCGAAAACACAATGTCCACAGGACAAGAACCGAAGCAGACAGCAGAGTAAAACAGTAAGACAAAGACAGCATCAGCATGTTGTCTGCCATTCCTGTCTGTACATAAAGCACTGATGACCACTCTACAGTGCTTTATGTACCGCCAGAAGGCGACCGTTAACGCACAGACTTCCTTCAGCTTTGACTTGATATTTGTGTGAGCGTCTGTGAAGCAGCATCTCGAAGACCTCTCAAAAAGATGCTGCCATTGTTTGGGAATCATTCTAATCCCGTCTTGATAATGGCTGAAATTCAGCGATGAGTAGGAATAGCACAGTGCACTCCCAACCAGTAACACGTCATGACATTTCGTCTCAAGCGTGGTGGACGGAAATCAGCATTGAAGATTCGCCCATCCATATAGAACGCTGCCGTCTCTGAGGTGATCGGCCCCTCCTTCTCCCTCCCCTCTCTCCAGGACCTTCTCTCGAGACCGCAGGTTCGGCTACAGCAGCGCCTGACCGATCAACTGCACAAGTTCCCCTTCAACGAGCTCTTCAACTCCCTCTCCCCCGACAGCAGAGCCCGCGCCCGTCTTCTGAGCTGCCAAGGGCCTCTTTCGTCTGGTTGGCTGTCAGCAATCCCTTCCAGCGATAGCAAGATACTGAACAATTTCCAGTATCGTCATGCCGTCGCCGGGTGTCTCGGCTTTGCCGTCCCGCACGCAACCGTCTCGCAGCGATGCATCTGCGGCGGGGAGGTCGGCAATTTTGGCGATCACTACTACGTGTCTCACACGGGCCGTGAGCGGGTCACGAAACACAGCAACATGCGCAACTTGTTTGTTCGCATCCTGGCTGAGGCAGCTGTTCTTTCCAATGTGGAGGTGTCTCTGCACAGCCTCGGCATCACCCCGCCTGACGACAGCCCCAACAGCTAGCGGATGGACATCTATTGTGTGATCGACGGCAGTGACTACCCCTGCCGGCCTGACGACTCCCTCACTCCCTTCCACCCAACAGTCAGCCGGCGCAGTGCACAGCTTCCGGGTGGCAAGGCGGCGCAGCTTGCGGAGAATGACAAGATCGACAAGTATGGCCCGACCGCCCAAGCAGCCGGCTTCCGCTTTGTGCCTCTCGCTGCGGAGACATTCGGCAGATGGGGAGAGAAGACCATGGACTTTCTCAAGATGCTCGCCAAGCGGAAGCCCCGCCCCACATCCATTCCCACGGAGGAGGACACAGCTTTCCGAGAGAGCGTCAACAACCATTGGAGCCAGCTTCTGTCCGTCGAGCTGATGAAGCACAACGCGTTTCGAGTGGCGAGTCGTGCGCAGCGCGCGGCGGCCGCCAGAGGGCCACGGAGGGCCAGCGCGTTTCTTGAGGATGTTATGGTGTGCTTGTGATAGCCACTTGGGGGTGGTGCTTCTGCAGTCAGAGAGACATTGGTGTGAGGCGTGCATGGCGAGTCTCTGGCAGCCTCGTGAGGGAGGCCTTTGCATTGGCCTCGAGAGCATTGCAAATACGGCCTCTTGTCGTTCTCACCGGCTTGACAGCCATGGATGCACGACGCGCACACACATCAAGGAGCACAGGAGGGTGCATGTTTGTCTGGGGTGGTCCGTGCTCGTTTGTCTTTTGCGTTGGCACGCAGTGCGAGTTTGTGTGTGCGTGGTGGGCGACGCCACTGGAGGATTCGCCAGGCGGGCGCTGAGGATGGTGCTGCATGTTTGTCGCGTGAGTGAGAGTTGGTCGATTGATACAGTCCATTTCATGAGACCGACAGACTTTTCCTGTCGTTCTGCTATGTGTTAGTCCATCTCCCCCCACCTGCACACGAGTGGACCGCAACATATATTGCAATGGCAGACACACACTGACGACAGTCGAGTGTATGCACAGACGCGAAAAGCAACCCACGTCACACGACTTCTGAGTCCCTGATAGGCGGGAAGCCGTGGTTTCGTCGAATAAAGCGGAAAGGGAGGAACATGTATTCTCTGCATGTGCGCACGTTTTCAGAATTTTTTCTTGTGACAGTGCGTTTCTCGTCTGCGTGACCTGTTGAAATGTGAGAGCTTGCTATCTGAAGTATTACATTGTAATGAAGTGATTTTGCGAGACGATGGCATTCATGAACTATTTACCTTGCCCTACATCGGTCAACACGCTCCACTGACTGTTCCTTTTTTTAGAGACCACACTATATATTCACACACACCGCGCATCAGTGCAACGTCATACCACACGTTCGCCACGCTATCCATGCTCGTTTCACATCCGGATGGTGTGAGCTAAGAAAGTGTCCCACGCGCAACCTTGGGTCAAAGACCCAGGACACACGTACACACTCCTTGTCTGCACACGAACTGAAGCGAGGGCACCCACACGATCAGCCAGACTCCTCCCTGCGATCTAATTGCTGCGATCAACAACCCCCGTCTCCTCCCCTCCCCAAGACCGGAGGAAATACTTACAGAAATGTAGTGGAAAGTATCATGCAGGAGGGCACACAGAGAGAGGAGGGCAATACACATTTGCCGCCTATCTGCCTGCCTACATCTCAGGCGCACAGGGACGAGATATGCACTTATGACATGTCTCTAAGCGAAAAGTCACCAAATCACGAAAGCGAGAGCACAGCCAGCACCTACCCAACATCCTTCTCTCCAGCACCCGCCCCTTGCCACCATTTGACGCCAGCGAAGGTGGAACCACCTCCACAACTGGCAACTGACCACTAGAAACTGACCGCTACGTGAAATTACTAAGAGTGAGCTTCGACTGTGAATGAATGAATAGAAAGTATGACGAGACAGCTGTGCACCACTCGTACGTGAAGATGAAATCTACGACAAAATCTACGATAAGACGTTTGCCAGCCTCTGCCTAGACGTAGCACAGCGATACAAACGCCACTGCCTGTGTGGGGCTCTCAAGCAGAGTATAGGCAGGGACGCAGGACACATACAATTCTTCTCTGTACACGAAAAATCAGAGCACGGTCACGGTCTGCAGTCTACAGAGAAAAACACCAGAATGGAATCAGTCCCCCGATAACACACAAAGGAAATGGCGGCGAATGTGGTGGGAAAGAATCATGCAGGCACACAGAAAGCAAAACACATGTGTGAGACAACCTCTTTAGGCAGCCAGCCACTGTCTGCAATCAACGTCCGAATCTCGGATGGAGTAAAAAAGCAAGACCCAAAATCTGGAGGGTGGTGAAGGCAGTCGTGCGCTCCCGGACAAACGGGATCGTCAAGCACACAGAGGTGTAGGAAACGGAAGGTGGAGAAGACAAGGACAAAACGACAGCCGCAATAGTGAGACAGCAGGGGGGGTATAGGGTTAGGCTCGTCACGACGGAGATGGACATTTAGCCTCATCACGACGATGAGCCCGAGAATGTCAAAATCAACCGTATCCACAGCATCCCAACAAGAGGGGGCTGTGACCGACCATAGAGCGTCGGATCAATTCTGCTTTCTGTGCTTCTGTTCCTTCTTGCCCTTCTTGTGGTTCTTATGCTTCTCCAACATCTTCTCGAAGCATAAGAACCATAAGACCGGCCCTCTTCTCTTTCCTTTCGCATTTGCCGCACAGTTAGCGGGCTACACATCACACGACATAGGATGCATATCTATTCCTCCTGTCATGTAACTCACCCCGCAACCGGCAAGGCCTAAGCCGGGTTCATTTCGCTTCCCCTTATTCGCCCTGCTGTTCAATATGACCTTGCCCTTCGCCTGGCCAAGCACGCCAATCCAGAAGAATAGAGCGCCCTTTCGGTTGTTGTTGAAGTCGTCGGGGTCCAGGCTGCAAACATATCGACCGTTGCTTGCAAGAACGCAAGCAAATGTGTATCGCCTTGAGGCGTACCAGCACGAGCCAATGCTGTAAAATAACGCCGCACCGTCCGTGCCGTCCGAAAAAATTCAGTGGCAGGGCAGGTGCCTGGCAAGACAACACAAGGCAAGGAACATACGACAAAAGCTGGCATGACGTAACCACTGACCACTGCAGCACTCCTGGTTGTTGAAGCCGAAGATTACATGATCCTCGAACTGAAGAGACAAGCACATGCAGAAAATGAAGACATACATTATTGTCACTTACGTCATCGTCACTGTCTGGGTGGATACTAATCTGCGCAGCGCGACAAGGACATGATGTTTGTTGATGTATCGGATCGATGTTCACTGAGTTTACTTAGCTTACCTCCCACGCGACGTCGATGACGAAATCTGGACCCTCCCCCGACAAGGATGCCTTGACGACATCTTCGCGCTCCCCATCCTCGTTGACGACGAGGAAGTTCTGTCGAGAGACTACCGCGTCGCGCAACGTAGGGTCGCAAATGTCAACTTTGCGTCCTCAGGAGGGTCGTTAAAGAAGCTGAAGAAGTCTGCATCACACACAGAAGGAAAAATTGGCTTCCTCTGCCTAGGATCCCGCCTCACCAATGCCACATATGCTAGCTGGTATAGCTGGTGGATGTGGCTCGGGGACAGGGTACTCAGCCGGGGTTATGTCGATGCTCTTATCGACATAACCTTGACAGGCACATCAACGAGGCAGGCATAGAAGGCGAAGAGGAAACATGTACGTGTGTGTACCAGGCAAGCGGACTGGGGTAGTGTCGAGGAATTTGACGACCGCCACATCGCCATCCTCTTCCAGGCTGTCGACGAGTGGGGTATAAAGGTCGAAGAAGCCATCCTTCACTGTAGTAACGGAGTCTGGGCACGTTAGCTGCGGCCAAACCCACCAGAAATGACCTCTTCTGAAGAAACCGTCACTGTGTTAACTTGCCTTACCTTCGTCCCAGACTCCTCCTCAGGCGGATCCAACAGGGCTTCGGTGTTCTAATGATGCACATCATTCCCTGAATCATTCGTGACTCTTTATGTTCTCGTGTCTTCAGTTGCTGCTGGCGCGGGGGGCAGTCTGCAGCACGCAAGGTAAGAGAGCGCGTGGGGACACCATGCCTTTACTCTTACTTGAGAAGAAACACTCGCCATCCAAGGATTGCTTCATGGCAATATCGTCCCTCAAAGCCCGATGGAAACGCCAAACGTCGACGAAACACATTCCGCTGCGGTACAATCCTCCTCTAGCACTTCGTTTCCGGCAGAGGATGGGATGCAACGCTCGTCCATCGAATTATGTCTCCGCTCATCTTAGCGATCGTGGTCGTACTCAGGGCTGCGTGCCCTCGCGAATTCGCAGTTGTGCACGCCGTCGATTTGATTTTGTGTGTCTCGGCCAATGCGCGTTCCGGGGACGCTGGGGGAGAACGAAGCTCTCTTCGTCGGAGTGCAGCAGCGCCAATTTAGCGGTCTTAAGCATGCCATCGCCGATTTGCGGCTGCTTAGACTATTGACTTACACGTCTTGACCTGGGCGCGCCGTGGGGCACGATGTCTTGTCCGTCGCTTCACAACATTCAAGGCAGCGCGCTCGTGTCAGGTCCATTGTGCAATTGCCATTGTGCGTCGATGGGCCTCGCCGCGAACGCGGCTCGACGAACGGTTACGAGGGGGGAGGGGCCCCCGAGTAATGGGAGGCGATCGGGAAGGGACACCAGGCAAAATGTTGCACCAAAGTCGATTATATACACTAAACCAGTGATCGCGATTGGCCACGGGCTGAGGTTTAGGGTAGACCGTGAAAGGGAGGTTGCAAGAGCCACGACGATTTGACTGTATTTTGCAAGGATCCGGGGAGAGCGAATGAGGAGGACTCAGTCATTAGCGGTAGAACTGGTCCAGAAGCCGACCATCGACTGTTTTTGATGGGTGATTGCAGTGAACTCACATCCTGTGAAGTCAGATGTTTGTGCGGACCATGCAATGTTGCCCCCTCCCCCTTGAACGGGGGAGGGGGCTCCTTGAACGGGGGAGGGGGCTTCAAAAAACAAGCTTCGATGGGTCAATGTTCATAGGTGGGAGACACTATGACAGTCGCACACACATTGCAGTTGGAAAGCCGTCTGAAGACTCGTTGTGCTGGGGGGAGAGGCAGACAGACAAAGTTGGGCCTTGCACGCGCGAGTACATGCCAAGAAAGCATGAATTCACCTCATGCTTCCTCCTCGATCATTAAGTCCGAGTCGATTTCGGGTGCATCGTCGGGCGAGACCATACGTCTTCACAATCTCATGTTCTGCGTGTGTCACAAAGTGTGGCTGCGTCACGCGCCGGCTCGTGGGCGAAGGTATGGGTGTTGTGGAGCTGCGCGCCTTCCGTCGATCTCAGTTGGGATTAACAAAAGCCTCCGTCCAATCGTTTGTCCTCTGCCGTGCGAGGCTCGGTCTTGTTATCGGTGCGAGGGTGTGTGGCTTATCGAGTCGAGACGCGAGTCGACGACGAAGACGCAACGATAGTGCGTGCTCTGTCGAGCGGAAGGGGAGAAGTCGTCGTCAAACGGGATTCCTTTTTATTGTCGCGTCGGCGTCGGAGAGGTCTTCGACAGGTCTCGTATTGTCGCATCGCCCCTATCATCTCTGCGAAGATCTCTTTCGTCGTCATCGTTGTGAAGCTCTGTTTCTTGTTCAGCCCCTTCCCTTGTCTGTTGCAGCGAGCTAACCCTATGATGAATGCAACTCGGCGTGTTTGTTGGGGGACAACGAATTCATGGCGAGGCGAAGCGGCATGTCCCGTGCGTCTCTGGCTACGCACCGGTCGACTGTCGGGCACGTGCCCGGGCGCGATTGTGTCGCCCTCTATCGACACAGCCACGTCGTCGAGGGGAAGCGAGGGTTTCTCACCAACTCACTGTCTGTGAGCTTATCGTGCGTGTGCGCCACGTCATCGATTTCAAGGTCCTAGCTGTATGCTCAGTCTCTGACACGACTATTGGCGTCCTGAGGCTCAAAGCTACTGCGTCGTGTCGTCTCGTGCAGCTACTAACAGCTGTCGATGGTACTTGATCGTCGTGGGATTTGGGCGTATATTGTGGTCGTCGTATGAGGGCCGCATGCCTCTGCTGTCGTTGGCAACCTCGTTTCTCGACCTGTGAAGCCTCGCTATCCTCATTCATGATCCATAACGTCTTCCGGTCCGTCAACGAGACATACCTCCCCAGCTGCCTGAGCTTTTTCTCTGCGCTTTCGATCGTGACCATGCTGCCTGACAAAGTGGCGCATGATTGCGGAGTCGTACTATTTTTTACGCGTTGGGTCTCTCGCATCTCTCGTGTCTCTCGTGTCTCTCGTTTCTCTTCAATGCCTGGACGCTTTGGGCTTGCTCATCGCAACCAATAGCATCGTTGTAGCCCTCCGCCCGCACGGTTCCAAGAGGCAAATGGCCGTGTAGGGGCCCCTTTTTTCCCAGGTTTTCCTGTTAGGCCGTCCAGTTCCCATCTATGGCTTCGCCATCCCGCGACTCCCTTCATTCATACACTAAGTGCCCCTCCTTAATCGGCCATGCCTGCTCATCGCCAGAGCGTCACAGGGACGAGGCATGTCGAGCTAGGCTGCATTCACCTCCGCCTGCAATTGCACAGTATGCAGGATCCAGCACTGAGCGTCGGGAACATCCCACGCGTGAAGCAACACGACCCCTGTCGCGATGCAGAAGTCCCCCAATCTCCCCTAAGGAATCGATGATCAGCTGGGACATGGCAGAAGGGATCGGTGTCAGGTCGTGAGAGACGTCGGTGGCCATCAAGATGGCCACCTTTACCTTCACCAGCGGCGGCTGGTTTCCGTGCGGGGCTATCTTCCGTTTCCCGATGTGGTTAGAGTGCATACGCACTCCTGCCGGCATGTAAGGTATTTCAGAGTCTGTTCCAGGTCGTCTCGTCTATACAATCATGCAAGAGTCTTCATGTAATATGTCATCTCGTCACGAACGGCTCCTCCTCCTCTACGGGGTTTCCACCCCTGTTGCTCCGTGACCTTTTCTTTATCGTCCGTTACGTGCGATTCTTCATCCACACGCATTGAAAGCCTTGGTCAGGTCTGTCTGGGCATCATCAAAATCGCCATGGGGCTGCGGCATCACGCGCCACGGTGCCTCACATGGGTCGTCACTTCCATGAACCGCGCCTCGCCATCCGTCCATCGTTCGCACCCTCACATTCTTTCATGCATCCGTCAACAGACCTTAAAGAAGTGAGTGGTCAGCCTCAGTAGCCATCCGTTTCCGTCAGCAGCATCAGCATCATCGCCACCCGCAGCCCCTGACTCCTTCGCTCTCACATGCTCTCACTCTCTCTCACGCTCTCTCGCTCTCTCGTGCCCGTCAGCCCACGACATATGCACCCCTGATACCCTCCATATCCTCCGTGGTTGAGCACTTCGCCTGGCATCAGGCTCGGCTCGTTGATGGCATCCCCGGCAGACTTCGGCAGTTTCGACTAGCACATGGGCAGACTCCCTGTCAGATGGGCAAGCCCATCAGACAGGTGAAGGGAAGGAGAGCCGTCCCGTGGGTGTCTAGTCGCTCATCATGGCGCCCTCGCCTGCGGTCTTCGGCCCCTGCTGGCCGGCTGGGATGATCACGGTGGGGTGAGGTGTTGGACGGAGAGACACGGAGACACCGCTCCGTGCAGTGGGCTTGCTGACGACGGTTGAGAGCACAAGTACCTCTGGGGGGCACGGAAGGCTCGGATGCTTGAAATCGACTAAGACAAAAGATGGATCTCGATGGGTCGGAAAATGGATGACCAGATGAAGCAAATGCGGCAGGAATGGGTCCTTTCGATAAGGAAGTCCTTACTCGATAAGGACTTACTTACTCGCGATAAGGGGTTCCTAACTCATAATGGTTTCACGATGCGAGCTTACGGACCTAAAGCGCCACACCCATTTTTCTTGTCTGAGAAAAGGACTCATCGCTTCGCTTTTTCCTTTCAGAATTGTGAAAGACGAGGGCTACAATCGTGAGTCGTCGAGTGCAAGCGAGCGGGGGTTGCGTGCGCTGGTGTGCGACCGAATGTGCCGAAACGTCTTACTTCTTCCCCGCGGCTGCTCCAGAATCCGCGCGCCCGTCACTCTGTCGCCTAATCCCGATGTTCCACTCGTGTTGTCGTGGACCAGTCACAATTGCCTCACTGTCTTCGCATCGGCGGCGGCGCTCACGAGTCATAATGACTGCCAATCCATTCTGTCTCTCGCCGCGCCTTCTTGCGCCACGCCGACAATCAGAGATTGCCGAGACCTGCCTGTGCGTCTGCACCTTCCAACCGTCGGGGCCGTCGATGAATCACAGCATCGAACACATAGTGTATCCATCCGTTATGAGTCGTCCGTATCGTGTACGTATTTTGACTCATGCAAATCGTTATAGGAAGCATCGAAGAGGATGGCGGCGAGCTTTGGTGGAGCTCGCGGCGAGTGAACGGCAGCACGCGAACTGGCATTGTGTCTTCCTCCCCCCCCTTGGCTTTCACTTTGTTGTATTGCGTGTTATTGACTCACACATGAGTGTTTGTCTGATGGATGCAGACGAAAGCTTAACGTGTCTCTGTTTCGCTACGTGTCTCTGTTGCAACCAGCATATACCTTTACGTGCACATGGTGCAGGCTTGTGTCTGGAGTGACTGGCTCGAGTTGCTGTCTTGTCTGCTTGTGTTTTGTATGTCTAAGTCTGGCGGAGCATGGCGAGCAGGACATTGGTGAGCATTGCCATGTTTTCAAAGGCGTTCGTCACCTCGCCGACCAGCTTGAGAACGTCTCTTCGCCATCCCACGCATCGCTGCTCTCGAGACGGGTCCTCTTCCTCAGGCTGTTCCCGATCTTCAGAATCTTGGTCTGCCGCATCAGTCTGAAGCTCGTGAGTTTTTTTCGACGTCTCGGGCACAAAATCATCATTTGACCCGTGACGCTTACCAGCCGACAAATCATCATCTGAGTCCAACGAGCCGTCAACAAAATCGCCACTAGACAGTGACAGCTGATCCTCCATAACGCTGAAAGACCCCACATACACACACGGATCCAGATCTGCAGCGCACAGGTGTGTGGTTGTGTAGGCTTCATCTTCACCTTATGAATGGCAGCGAATGCCGATTACCTTTCTAATCCTCGTTCTAATCGATATCCTGCGAACGCAATACGATAAATCAATCAGTGCAAAGATGACCGTACGTGATAGCTCTATACGTCTGTGGCCTACGCAGATGCAGGCGCAAGTCGAACGTGCGTTGACGATGCGAAATCAATGAGAAACTGAGCATATCCACAAGTTTCTCGAGCCACAAGTCGCCGGAAACAGCTTGAACCACACAAAAAGGTCTCATTCACGTCTGAGGCAAGACGCATCACGAGCGCGCAGTCTCGCAAGCTCCACCGATACCAATGCCTGCCGTCCTACCGAAATGCGCTCGTCTTCCTATGCATCATCGTCTGCCTCGAAGACCTACTTGTCTGCCCTTTAACCCCCCCCC